TGAGAGATTGTCTTTAGGGAGGAAGCTTCCAGGTCAGTTCCACTCAGTTTCTCGAAGTCCTGTGTCTGAAGCATACTGTGTCTTCAACAATAGGGTCTTACCTTCAAGTCCTGGAAGGCAATCAAGGACTGTGGCAATAGCCCATATTATTTTGAGAGTCTCTTAGACTCTCTTGACCAACAACTCAAAAAGGGGGTTTCCCTTGCCTAACACTGTGGTTTTTGTTATGTAGCCTTCAGCTATACATATGCACTACTGTTTATGTGTATATTTTTCAGTAAGTGTATTAAATACCACATTTCCCTTGACTTGTCACACCACCTGTATTAGTCACTTTTCTGTTGCTATGATAGAAACACTGACCCAAGCAATTTATAGAAGGAAGAATTTATTTGAGCTTACGGTTCCAGGGGAATTACAGTCCGTCTTGGTGGGGAGGCATGGTGACAGAGGTGGCTGGAGAAGATGAGCAGAAGCTAAGCTCTACATCTTCCAGCAGGCACAGGAAACAAGAGAGCAACTGGAGTTCTGGCAAGGCTTAAGAACTCTCTAAGCCCACCCCCAGTGACGTGCTTCCTCCAGGATAGCCATACCTTCTAAGACCTCCCAAAACAGCACCACCACCTGGGGACAGAATGTCTAAATACTTGGATCCTATGGGGGACATTATCATTCAAACCATCACATTCCACCCCCTGTTCCCCATAGGCTCATGACCATATAAAATGCAAAATGCATTTAGTCCAACTTTAAATAGTCACCATAGTCTTTACCAGTCTCAATACTATTTAAAAGTCCACAGTCCAGTCTTTTCTGAGACTTAATTGTAAGCCTCTATAAAATCAAAAGACAAATTACATACCCCCCAACTTACAGTGGAACTGAATACACATTACCATTCCAAAAAGGAGGAATGGAGGCATAGGAAGGAAACACCGGACCAAAACAAGACTGAAAACCAGCAGGGCAAACACCAAATCTAGTAGCTCCATGTCCAACTTCTGGGACTTTACTTCCAAAGGGCTTAGATAGCTTAGCCTCTCTAGCTTTGCAGCGTGCAACACACATCTCTCTCCTGTGCTGGTGCCACTCCCTGTGTGCAGGTCTTGGCAGATGCCTCACAGCTCTGGCATCATGAACTTCTTGGGGTCTCCATTGCCAACCAGGCTTCACCTTCACAGCTTCACACAATGGCCTATCAGGGTCTTCTCTAGGCAGGGGAATCCCTGCTTCACACTGCCTGGCCTCCGCTCTGAAACCTCAGAGGAAGAATTGATGACCCCTTCACTCTTCCATCTTTCATGCCTCTAAAGCCAGCACTGGGTGAACGACACTGCCAAGTTTGACTGCAAGTTTGGGATGGACTCCAGCCTGCTTTATCCATTTTAGAAGCTTTTCTCTTTCATGGCCCCTGCAGCATTTTCCTTTCACAAGTTGGAGACTTAACTGGGTGTGGTATTGCTCTGGAGGCACTCTCTCCATTGTTTAAGTGCAAATCTCTAGATGGCTCCTTAATCACTTTAATATCCTTATCAAAGGGATCCTCTCCAGTACATGCCAGAGTTCCAACATTTATCTTCTAAGTGCTCTTTTTCAATCCAAACTATACATTCTGTGTTTCTTTCTGCCCCATTTTCTCTTTTTCGCTGTAGATCTATATAATGTTCACCATTAAGAACCACACCACTATTTCCGTTAGGCTCTCTTGAAATTTCTTCTGCCAGAGAAATTAGTCCATTGCTTTTCAACTGAGCCTCAGGAAAGCTTTGTGGCCCTCCCATTAAAATTGGGAACTAGACAAGGATGTCCACTATCTCCACCCCTTCTCAACATGGTGCTTGTAACTCTTGCTAGAGCAATAAGACAAGAGAAGGAAATTAAAGGAGTAATAATTAGAAAAAAGAGATCAAATTATCCCTTTTTGAAGATGATATGATATTATATCTAAGAAAGGCGAAGAATTCCACACAAAAACTCCTAGAAATTATTAACACATTCAGTAAAGTGGCAGTTTACAAAATTAACCTACAAAAGTCTATAGCCTTTCTATATACCAATGACAAGCAGTCAGAGAAAAAGCA